GAAGTGACTCCCAAACATAATGAATGCTGGGTAACCAGGACTGGCCTCACTCCTTCTCCCAGAACTGCAGGCTCCAAGTCAACAGGAAACTTCCTGCTCCCTCTCTAATGCTTCTCTAACTCACTGGTCCTGCTGCCGCCAGTATTCTTCCTGAGTCTGCTAGGGCTCATGAACTCCTACTTACCTCCCAGACCGCGCTCAGATGTAACTCCTCCTTTTTGACCATTTGAAATTCTATAACATGCCAGTCTCAGGAAAGGAGTACCCACCCAGACAAGGAGCTTTCGCCTGCACTAACCCTAAATGTCAGAAATCCTGAGATCAATCAGAGGCCGCTCAAAACTGGCAAGTCCAAGAGCAAGGGGGCAGTGTGGGAGTTCCTGTACTCAGGAGGTCCTCCTGCCCTCCTCCGTCCATCACAGCGTTGGTGATTTGACCCGACACCCTGAAAATCAGATGTGAGTGGCTAGGAGGGAGCCTTGCCATGTAGCTAGTTGGCATGCAGATGAAATGAGAAGGTCAAGTACTCAGAACAGCTGTCCTCATTTCAGATCAGAAGGAACCAGTGCCCACGAGGCTTCCCCCGATTCCCTCGGAACGTGGGAATTATGCCGTCCACCAGAACAGCCACTCGAGGTACCACGCAGCTGTGCAGAAGGTGTTATTAAAGACATGTAAGTAAAAGGATGTATCAGTTTCTAATGAATGGCTGGGACATCGTGGGCCACAAGTGGGTTAGAGAAATGGGAGAATGTAGACTTGAATGGTAAATGAGCATGCTTTTGTTTTTGTTTTGAGGCAAGGTCTGACTATGTAGTGCAGGCTGGCCTTGAACTCACAGCAATCCTCCTGCCTCAGCCTCCCAAGTGTGGGGATTACAGGTGTGTGTCACCATGCCCGATGCTTTATTTTTATTTTAAATATTTTTTAGTTTTTTTGAGACCGAGTCTCGCTATGTAGCCTAGGTTGGCCTTGAACTCGCAGCAATCCTCCTGCCTGAGGAGTGCTGGGATCACAGGTATGGGCCACCACACCCCGCCCTCCTCATCATTTTAAACAAGCAGAAAGCGAGAATGTCTGCTCTATTGCTCTACTGAAGAACTATGAGGATCACACCACAACTGAAGCAGTTTAGGGAAGTAGTTTGTGTGTTATCACATATTGCACATGAGGAATGGTAGAACAAACACTAGCTTTGGAATTTGACTCGCTTGAGTTTTTTGTTTGTTTTTTGTTTTTTTGAAACAGGGTCTCCCTATGCAGTTCAGGCTGGCCTTGAGCTCACTTTGTAGCCCAGGCTGGCCTCAAACTCGCAATGATCCTCCTGCCTCAGCCTCCCGAGTGCTGGGATTACAGGCATGCACCACCACGCCTGGCTTTCACTTGAGTTTAAACTCTAAATAAATTATATGTACCTGAGACAAGATCCTTTAGGGACAAAGAGGGCAAGTTCCTCTCTTAACCCTCTAAAAATTGGAATAATACTGTTTAGCATTGTTACGAAGAAGCATGTAGGACAAACTCCTGATACATGCAGTACATTGTAGGACTCCGTGGAATTATGCTCTGTAAAGCAGGTCATTCCCAGCCAGACATGGTGGCACACACCTGCAATTCTACCACTCTGGGGGCTAACACAGGAGGATCACAAAACAAAGCCAACTAGGCTACCTAGCAAAACTCTGCCTAAAAAAACAGAATAACAAAGGCCAATCCCCAAAAGATCACAATCTGTATGCCATTTATATGATGTTCTCAAAATAACAAATTTATAGAGATGAGCAGATCATTGATTATCAAAGGCTACATAATGGCAACCCCAAGATCAGGCTGATAGAATTGTCCTGTGTCAGTATGTCAGTACCTTGGTTGTGGTAGTGTACTATGGTTTTGCAAGTTATTACCTTTTAGTGAAGCAGGTACACATGATCTCCAGGGAGTATTTCTCACAACTGTCTATGAATCTGTCTATAATTATGTTCATATTTAATTTAAAGAAACAAAAACAATTTTAGAAGCCAAAACAGGCATATGTAGGAAGAGGATATCTGATAGTTATTTCTAATACTAATTTTTAGTGCTGAGCATGTATCCCAGTGCCTTTGTGCATGGAGGGCAAAAACTCTCCTACTGAACTACATCCACAGCCCCTTCAGATCTGAGACAGGGTCTCACTAAGTGGCTTAGACTGACCTCAAACTTGCCATTCTCCTGCCTCAGCCTCCTGACAGTAAAACTTTATTTTTTCAGTAGAGATTGAACCCAGGACCTTTTCACTGAGCTATATTCCCAGTCCCTTTTTATAGTTTGAGACAGGTCTTGCTGAATCACTGAATTCCCCAGGCTGGACTCAAACTTGCAGTCCCCCACCTAAACCTCCCCAGCAGTTTTGTTTTGTTTGGGGGGTTTTATTTTTGAGACAGGACCGCACTACGTAAGAATCTAGTCTGGCCTTAAATTTACAATTGTGCTTTAGCCACCCAAGTGCTAGGATTACAGGGGGCTGTTCTTGGCTTTTTTTTTTTTTTTTTTTTGAGACAGGGTCTCACTGTCCTGCAGGCTAGCCTTGAACTCAGAGCGATTCTCCTGCCTCAGCCTTTTGAGTGCTGGGATTACAGGTGTGCACTACAATGCCCATAAGATTACAGGTGTGAACAGGTAAGCCATAATTCTAAGTATTATGAATATATGAATTTTATACACTGGTAGAATTAGATTCATACAAATAATTAAAGTTACTGGGCATGGCAGTGCATGCATGTGGTGACTAAGGCAGGAGGATCGCCATGAGTTCAAGGCCAGCCTGAGTTACATAAGCAAGTTCAAGGCCAGCCTGCACTATATATCAAGACCCTGTCTCAAAACAAAGTATGTATATGTGTGTGTGTGTGTGTGTGTGTGTGATGTGGGAATTGAACCCAGGGCCTCTGCATGCTAGGCAAGCACTCCACCATTAAGCTACACACCTTCAGTCCCTGAAAATTTATATATATATTTTTTGGTCTTTTTGAGGCAGGGTCTTGCTGTGCAGTTCAGACTGACCTTGAGCTCACTTTGTAGCCCAGGCTGGCCTCGAGATATATATATAATTTTTTTTTTTTTTTTGGTTTTGGTTTTGGTTTTTCTCCGGTACCAGGAACTGAACTCATGACCTTGCGCTTGCCAGGCAGGTGTTTTGCCGCTGAGCTAAATCCCCAGTCCCTGGCCTCGATATATTTTAACAAGTTGATAACCCTGGGTTTGGTGATACATGCCTGTAACCCCAGCACTTCAGGGGGCTGGGGAGGCTGGTGCTGAGGCAGAAGGATCATGGCTGCATTGCAAATTGAAGACCAGTCTGAACTGCATAGTGAAACCCTGTGTCTGAAAAGAAAGCTAGTCACACCTGTAGTCCCAGCACTTGGGAGGCTGAGGCAGGAAGACTGCCATGAGTTTAAGGCCAGCCCACATGACACAGTGAGACCCTGTCTCAAAAAAAAAAAAATAGCTAGTAACTTTTGGAGATTTATCTGGAACGGGCAGAGGAATGCATTATTTATTTCAGAGAGGAAAGCAAGGAATAAGAATGATTAAGACAGGAGAAAAGGAAAAGTAATGAATTGGTAGACCCCCATTTTGTATGTTTTCTAAGTGAGCTGACCACTTGTTTTTCTTCCGTCCTGGCCCCTGGGAAGCTCTCTAGCATAGGAAGTCGCAAGGCTAATTCATCTGACTGCGCAGGGTGTGAGACGCTGGAATCCAGAAGTTAGGCAGGGTGTGGTGACCACATTCCCAGGACCTCTCAGTACCTGGTCGGGCCCAGTTGGTAGGCTGGACTTTGGCTGCCCAGAGCAAGAGTGAGCAGTGAATGTGAAGAAATTCAGATAACCTGCCTTTGCCCCAACCTGCTCAGTCCCCAATCAGGTCTTCAGAGTCCCTCTGACGGATGCTCAGAACTGCAGCTTCTGGTGGTCCCATGACCCAGGAATGCACCCAGAGAAAACCACGCCATGGATCCAGAGTCCACGCCACTGTCGCATTAAAAGCCCCATGACCAGGTAGGCTGGGAGGGGTCAGGGTAGGAGACCAAGAGAAGTACTCTCCTCTCTCTGAAATCCTTAGACACTGATTCATCTGCACCTCGAGTTAGGGAATAGGGAAGTCTGGGTCGTAAGATTTGGCTCCAGAACCTGGGCAGTGCCTCTGCATTTCACCTTGTGCAGTGTGACTTCTGAGCAGGCACAAATGCCTGCAGCATTCCTGTGGGCCCCTGGGTGTCTTCTCCCTTCACCGCCACCTGCCCAGCCCTCCCACCGCCGTCCACTGGCAGCACTGTGTGATCCTGCCTTCTGACATGAGGCAGCATGGGGACTGTTTTTAAGGATACCGCCTCTCCTTGCGGGCCGAATCTGAGACCCTGTTTCTTTTCCAGGTTTAGGGATCACTGTATTCTCAACGACAGAACCTTCAGTCAGTATTGAGGACGATGTGGTTGCAGACAGACGAACCGTGAAAGGAGTGCAAACTGGGGAAAGAGGGAGAAGTATCCCGGTTCACAGGACTTACTCATGGCAGGAGGGGGTCACAAAAGCAGAGTAAACAGATTGGACTAGAGGTCACTCTGTCTCTGGGAAGCGGGGCGTGGGGAGATACCCCAGTGCCCTGACTGCCGTGAGCGCATGCGTGGGAGACTCCTGAGGAGGCCAGATCTTGGTATGAGGTGTTTGGAGGGGCCAAGGCCCTGGAAGGAAAACTACAGGGGTCTTCATTTAGCCCGCGAATGACAAGGGTCACAGGAACGAATGTGGGAACACGCCGGGTCCTCAGGATGCTGCGGGCCTGCAGCAGTCCCGCTCTCTGAGGACACTGAGGTTGCACCCTGGCAGGGCAAAAGCCACAAGGGCCCTCAGACCACAGATGAGAGCAGCTCACGGAGCCCTGGGAGGGAGGCTGACTTCTGTACCAGGCTTGGCTACTTCTGACCCAACCCAGGCCCCAGAGCAGCTGCAGAGAACAGAAAATTTTACAAAGATTTGGATTTTATTGATATTTAAATATATTAAATATTTCACTGAAATACATGGTACACCGCCCTCCCCCACGCCCACAGTGGTTACATTATAAAACCAAAGCCCACGGCCTCCCATCCCAATTCCCCCACGCCTGGTGAGGAAGGGGCCCATGGCAACCCCGGGGAAGGGCGTGACTGGCACTGCGGTTCGGGGAGCCAGGCTGGGAACAGGACCCTCCCGCCTGGCAAGAAGCAGAGACAAATCAGCCAAGGCTGAGGTCGTCCCACTCCGGCTCACTCACACCCTCCCCTCCCACGGCACCAAGGAACCCTTCCTGTCCAGGGATGCGGCTGGATGGGCCGGGGAGTGTTTTCTGCCTGAGGCAGCTGGGGTTTCTCCTCCTCTGCCCTGGCTAATGAAGTGCCTGGCGATTCACCTGGCTGATGAATGCAGAGCCCCAGGGCAGGCGGTACCAAGCCAGAAACAGGCCTCTGCGAGGAGCTGGTGTGTCGGGAGCGTGGGGAGGGGCAGGGGCGATGCCCGCTCCTCCCAGCTCCCAGCTCCTTTCTCCTCGGCCTCTCTAGACATTTACAGGACAGGCGATCTTCAAGAAACACTCAGGCTAATGCCTCTGGCTTAAGTAAGTATAGACAGAGAAACCAAGGCACCAGCCCCTTCAGGCCGGAGTCAAGGAGGCTGCGGGGAAAGGGATGAAAGGAAGGTAAGAAGAGGAAGAGAACCTAGCGTCCGACTTCCTAACCCTTCCAGCAGCCCTGGCAGGCCTCATGGGGACTGGGAGCCAGAACACGCTAGACGCAAGCGGAAGGCTCAGGGAAGCCTAGTTTGAGATCCCCTTCCCCATCCCCTAGTACCAATGTCTGGGCCTCAGAAGGATCCCAGGCTGTCCCAGTCCCAAAGCATAACACATCCCAGGACATAAGCTGGAGAACCCAGGGAATTCCTGGGCCTCTGCCCACTAAAGCCCCGACAGGTCAAGTGCGTGGAGCACTGCGGCCCAAGCAGGCACTTGGGTCCCCGCCTGCGGCAGGGGGACAGTCACACTGTACACGTGGCCCCGAATGGCACTTAGGGATTTGGCACAAAAAAGACTCCTCTCCCCCGTCCACCCTCCTTTCGCTGCACACCCCGTACCACTCCTGTGCAAGCCGGGCATCTCCCTACGTCCCTTGAAGTAGAAAACCCTGCCTTGCTCCCAGAAGACAGTGGCCCACAGGAGAGAGGCAAGCCCGGGTGGAGAGCTGAGGAGCGGGAGCACAAGGACATACACAGACCTGGAAAATAGATATGCACACAGGGCAACATGCACACACAGTTACACAGACTCACAGGCCCTCCCCGGTGCCAGGACCGGGAGGCCAGCTTCAGGGTCAAGGCCATCTTCCTCTGTGCCCTGACCCGTTCTGTTTGGCAACAGAAGGGGCAGAGATGCTTCATGCCCCCTTGCCAGGAGCAAGTGCTGGGACCAAGGGACCTGACCCTAGCCACAGCTGAGCCTCAGATCAAGCCTGGCGCCACCCCCACCTAGCCGCCTGCGTTCTTTGGCACCTGCAGGTAAATGCCCAGCTTCTGACCCTCTGGCACCCACACGCAGCTGGCTCTCTGGCTGGGCATTTCACAGTGCCAGCGAGGCCAGATGCCCCTTTCCCTGGAATGTGCAGGAGCTGGGGCTAAATCTGCACTGTCACAGGTCCCGTTGTTCCCCTTTGGGGACAGATCGTGGGACAAGGATTTGGCAAACGGAAACATTCCCCTGAAATGTGGACAGAGCTGGGTTCTCAGAACATCTCCGTCCTGCCCTGTGCCCATGAGGAGAGCTGGCTAGGACTGGCAGTGCCCAGGACCAGTGCTGGGAACGCAGGCATAGCCAAAGCAAGTGTGGGGTAGGCACTCCTCACGCCTGCCTAAGTCTCTGTGAAAATCTTCCCGGGAAAGGGGGAAGGGAAGACCCAGCCCTGAGCCTGCTGTCCAGACGGGGAAAGGCAGGCATGGCAAATGGCCACGTGCACCTCCCAGGCAGGAGGGTGCCCCCGTCTGCACTGCTTCCTCTGCTGCTCCCAAAAGCTGGAAGAAAGAAGAAACGGCCCTATCCCAGTTAAAAAAGAAAGTCAGCTGCACGATCTTCTCGGTGTCCCTGTTCACCAGTCTGAGGGCAGACGAGCACGGTCCCAGCCCAGCCTGCTGCGGTGTTCCCTTTCGTGATCCACAAGGTCTGGAGGCTCTGTGTCCCCGGCACAGCTCCACCCAGCAAGCAGAGTCCACTCAATGCCCACCTTGGTCCCTTCGGCTGAATCTGCAGCTGGCCCCTGCTAACTGCTGGGGCCCCCGTTGAGGAAGTAGGTGGTCATCTCCCCCTTGCCCTTCACCTTGACCACCCCTCGACACTCCAGTTGGTAGCCCTTGGCAGCTAGAACCTGGTACAGGTCCGTGGTCACCTGGGGGAGTGGGAGGGGAGCCTGCTTAGCCTGGAATCCCTCCTGCTGCACTGGCAGAAGCCCAGGGTTCTCTGGTCAGGCTAGCTCCCCTCCCAGCCCTTGCCCCACGCACTGCAGAAGACTGCCACCCTGCCCCTTCCTGCACAGAGATTTATGGAAGTCCTCTGGACCCGTACCCCTCCCAGCCTTGTTTCACAGCCTCCTCACCTGTATCCGGTCAGGCACCCCTGTGCTGTCCATGCGACTGGAGACATTTACTGTGTTCCCCCAGATGTCGTACTGTGGCTTCCGAGCCCCAATAACACCTGCCACAACTGGGCCCATGTTCAGCCCTGAAGTGGGAAGAAAGGCAAGACACTGAGACTAGTAAACGCTCCAGGGCCATCCCACCTCCTGGCATCTCAAGGAGGGCCCGGGGAAAGAGCGGAAAGGCACAAATCTGGTGGTAAAGAATGGAAGACCTGGCACCTGGCATTGTGGTGGATGTCTTTAATCCCAGCACTCTGGAAGATTCAGGCAGGAGGATTACAAATTCAAGCTAACCTGGGCAACCCAGTGAATTAGCAAGACTACATCTCAAAATTAAAAACTAAATGTAGCTCAATGTGAAGGTTCTGGGTCCAATCCCTAGTCATATTAAAAAAAAAAAAAAAAAAATCGTGGCGTACACCTGCAATCTCAGCACTTGGAGCCTGGAGACAGGACTGCCATAAATTCAGTCAGCCTGGGCCGCGTATCAGATCAAGACCAGACTGAGCTACATAACAAGACATCTCAAAAAAAAGACCTGGGCAGGTGGGCAGCAAAGCTCCCTCAGCTGAAACAACTGTGCTGTAAGAGTAGCTAATCTACCGAGTGCTCACTCTGTGCCAGGTATTGGAGTGGGCATTTTACCCTACTGCACCTCTCACCACCCCCCAACACAGGTCTTATTGCCATTTTACCCAAAGGTACTGGTGTGAACCAGTAAGTAGAACTGCCAGAAGTCAAACCAGTCTGACTCCAGAACCTGTGCTGTTAACCACTGCTCTCTACCAGTCCATCCGAGGAGAAATACCTCTTCTCAGATGAGCCACCGACAAGGACATGGGCACTGGAGTGCTGTAAAGCCTGGGTTTGAATCCTACCTCAGCCACTTTTTTGGCTGAGTTACTTTTCCTTATCTTTTTTTTTTTTTTAATACAGGGACTCGCTATGCAGTTCACGCTGGTCTTTAACTCACTTTGTAGCCCAACTCATGGCAATCCGCCTCAGCCTCATGAATGCTGGGATTACAGACATACACCACCATGCCCAGCTCTTTATCTTTAAGGAGTTAACAAAAGGATTAAATGTGCTTAAGATACCTAGGATAGAGGCCAACACATAGTAGGCCCACTGTAAACAGTCTCTGAATATAAGACAACCTAGAAAACAGAAGGGGCGAGAACCCCACCGGAGCCCTGGTGGAGAACCTGGGCCCCCATCGCAGCCCATACGCGCAGCCCAGAGACCCCTGCTGGGAGCCAGGCCCTCCTACCGATCTTCATCTGGAAGTTGTTGAAGGAGTGCTCGTTGATGTGCTTCATCTGCTCCATGAGCCGCATGGCGTAGTCTGCGAGGGCAGTGATGTGGGAACGGCCCACCTGATCGTAGGTGCTGGCATTCAGCCCAGAGGCAGCCATGTAGGTGCTACCAATTGTCTTTATCTTCTCCAGCTGCCGAAACTGCTCCTCGCTGATAATCTGGGCAGTGCAGGGGTCTGGCTGAGGCCAAAGAGGCCAAACCCTGCCACGCGCCATTGAGCCCGCCTCACTGCTTGCCCTGCACTGGCCCCTTCCGCGCTCCCCCGGCCAGCGGCTGCTGTCAGTGCCGGCCCGAGGAGCCAGACTTAAAGGTCAGCTGTGCTGGCCCGCTCGCAGACCGGCAGGAAGGACGCTGGGCACCAGTGACTCCAACCTCACCTTCTGGGGAGCACTCCAGAACGGGGAAGAGCTCACTCCAGACTGGGGTGCTCAGGGCAGTCCTCACATGTTGCTTCTATTTTCTCAGGGAATTACCTTGCTGGTTGGGTGTCTTGGGGTTCTGTCCACACACTACTGTTATCCTCTTCCAGACACCTACCTGGTCCCTCTCCTGTCTCCCACAGACCCTTGGGTCCTCTTTTCTCCCCAAGGATGACCCTGCCCCACCGGGATGACCCCTTGTTCCCTCTGACACCTTCATGGGCTCCTGTCCCTGCTTCCACCGTCCCTACACGCATCTGTACCCCAGCATCTCTAGATCCCATTAGATCTCCCCTTTCTCCAAGTACCACCCAGCCCGCATCTGTGGCTCTACGACCCTGGTCCCAAACCCCCTACTCCCCCCCACCAGCCAGCCGGCAAGCACCTCGTCAAAGTCGGCGATGATCTCATTGAGCAGCCGCAGGCACTCAACACCCTCGTTGTTGGCCTCCAGCTCTACGTAGAACTCGGAGAAGTTGGCAATGGAGGCGAACATGACGGCCACGCACTCGCAGGACTGGTAGTAGAGCTCGTCATTCCGGCGCTCCCGCGCCAGGAAGTGGGCAGCCACGTCCTTGGGCAGGATGTTATGCAGCAGCCGCCGGTTGTATGCCTGGAGCTCTTCCATCTCCTCCTTCTCCCCTGTTGCCTGTGAACACCATACCCATGGCCCACTGCCCAGCACTCACAGGGCTGGTGCCGTAGCCAAGGCCACGGACAGCTGAGGCCTCGAGAACAGGCAGAAAGGCCGGGTACAGGTGGGCAGGGCACGGAGAACGGACACAAAGGCAGCCTGGGACCAGAGTGGGCCTAGGGCACCCTGAGCCTCAGGCAGCAAGAGATGTGTCCCTGGCTAGGACCAGGCTAGGCCCCAGGTCCCATCCCTTCCCCTACAGGCCCACCCAAGTCACCTGCAGTTTCCAGAGGAAATCCAGGCGGGCCGTCGACTCCACCTGCTGGGCATGCAAATACAGCGCCAGCGCAAACACCAGCAGAATCACAGGCGTCATGTGTTTCAGGGCCACCCTCCCCACAGCTGGGCTGAGGATGAACGGAGCCGTGCTTGGTGCCTGATGGAGGCATCCACCAGCCTCACCCCCTGCAGCCCCGAGCCCCCACTCACCAGTCCAGCCCATTGAAGGTCTCGTTGGAAGAAGCCCTGGTAGGAGCACACAAGAGAGAAAGTCATGGTGCTTCCTGGATGGCTGGGCTGGCACGGACGGCGGAGACACTGCGCTGTCAAGCCGTGTCACCAGTCGTGCACTGGGCCAGGGCCTTTCCCTACATTAACTAACTCCTTAATCAGCAGAGGCTGAGACTCTACCCTTCGTGGCTCCACCACTGACCAGCTATACGACCTGGGCAAGCGACTTTCCAAGCCTCCGTTTCCTGGTCAGTAAACCAGATCTAAATATTGCATATGCAAGGCTCGGCACATGCCTGGCATGAAGTCAGTCTTCGTAAGTGATAGTTACTAGAACCTTTACACTACCCTGTCACAGAGGCGGGTTTGCCATTTGACAGACGAGAACATGGAGGCTCAGAAAAGTTAACTCCCCTGTCCAAGGTTACACAGCTAACGAGCACCAGAGCCGGGACTCGAACCCAGCAGACTCCGGAGGCTTTCTACCACAGCAAGCTACGGCCACACACCACCAAGGAAGGGGCTTTGAGCAGGAAAAGCCAGTGCGGGTCCGAGCCACAGCCCTCACGCAGGAGCCAGGTTCTGCTTCCGAGCCAGGGCTCTGCCACCGCGCAGCTACGTGACGTACACTTGGTTAAAATGGGGCAGAAAAGCACCGTGCAGCGCGAGAGGGCTTTTCTGTCAGTGTTTGGCCTAAAGACACAGGGGTTTCCCTGGTGTTTCCTTGGGATAGCCACGTGGGGTAACCACGTGGGGTAACCACTTGGGGTAACATGCCAGGAACTCCCCAGTCTGCTTCCCTCTCCGGGGTGAGCTGCAGCATTCCCAGGGTACAAGGTCCTGGGCACTAGAGAGGTTCTCGGTGACCTAGCAGGGCTGGAGACTCTGAGGCACTCAAGGGGCTGAAGATAAACTTACAGGCCATGGACGCCAAGCAGCAGGTCGTAATTGTCAAAGATGGTGGCTGGCGGACCCAGCAGAAGCAGCACCAAATAGATAAGCCCCAAGGTGAAGATCATGGCCAGTTTGCCGATGCTGCTGATGTGCAGGAAGACAGAGCTGGCCAGGAGACTCAGCAGCATGCTCCCGATGAAGTACTGGGGGAACACGGAGGCAGCGCTGGATGACGGCAGAGGCCGCGGCACCAGGGCAGGAGAAACCCTGCGCTCCCTTGCCTGGCCTGCGTTCCCCGCTTCAACCCCCAAACCCCAACACCCTTCGCCCTCTGTCTCCAACCTGCACCACACCAAGGCCCCTGGTTGCTCTTGGAGTTAGGGACCCTGGTGAGGCCTGGGTTCCCACTGCCCATCACCAGGCTTGGCACACAGGGCTAGTAACTGTGCCAGGACATCTGCCTCTGCTTGAACACTGCTCGGACACCTCAGGGAAGCTGCAGGTGGGTGCGGTGCCCTCACACAGGGGAGCGTCCAGGCCCAGAGAGTAATTGAGCTGTTGCAGGTGGCAGGCGGTGATGTCAGCAGGTGTTAAATTCAGCATCTGGGCCGCACAGGTCCGTATAGGTGTGTGGTTACAGGTGAACTGCAAAAGCCAGTTTGTATCAGGGTAACCAAGGAAGGAAAGGGTTGCAAGGGTCATACCTACGTGCCTTCTACCCAAGGGCCCAAGTGCCCAGCGATGGCAAGCGAGGAAACGAGAGGGGAAACGAGTTAACCTCCCCCTCCTCCAGGACTGCAGGCTCCTCGGGGCAGGAAACATGTTTTACTCCCCCTGTATCCCCAGTGCCAAAGCAGTGCCTGGCACTGAGCAAGGCAGGAGAACTCCCACTGGATCCTTACCATGTTGGCAGTGGCAGAAATGAACACAAGCAGGACTGAAAAGATGCCAACTGCGGTGCTATGTGCCCGAGAGCGAACGATGCTTCGGGACAGACGTTGCAGGGCCTTCGGGAACAGCTGGAGTAGCAACAGACCACGAGGCGGAAGGCACATGAGCCGAGAAGGCAGGCCACGCAGGGAGGGGCCCAGCAAGAGCGGCGCGGCTTCCCCTCCCCCTCCCCGCGGGACCCCTGCCCTGCCCACCCCGAAGCCCCAGGGAAGCCCTCCACATACAGAACCGCAGGAGTACACAGCACAGGTCAGCACGGTGAGCAACAACAGCAGGAAGGTACCCGCGTAGATCCCAAGCATCAGCGTGGAGCTGGGGCAGGACAGGGCCGGGGGAACGTTACTCCGTAACACCTGGGCATCCTTGTCCCGTCCCTGGTACAGGCAGGGGTGCAGGCTCCAGGGATCAGGGGTCTGCCTGCTGTTTAGGGAGGTCTGGGAGTGGTGAAAAGGGGTAGGGCTCTCACTGTGGGAAGATGAGGAGCTGGATGAAGCCGATGAAGCAAAAGACCAACAGGGCACAGGCAACGTAGGCTCCAAAGCGGGGATCCACCTTCCGTGAGTACTGAGGGAGAAGAGGGGGGCTGGGCCCTGGGCTCTGCTGGACAGCAAGGCACTACCAGGGGCCTCAGGGCAGAAGCAGTTGGCCCAGCTTTCGTGAATCCCCCTCTGCCCTACGGCCCCTTCCCACTCCCCAAACCTCCTGCTCAACCCTCCCTGCCTGGGCCTGCCCCCGACCCCAGCCTGGTTGCTCTGCCCCCGTCCCCCAGACCTTCTTCTCGAGATCCTCTCTCTGGAAGGTGAGCAGGAACCGGCGCACGTGGTCCTTACGCAGCTGATCGATGCTGCGGGCATCAATGGCCCGGCCCAGGAACTCGTCCACCTCGTCCTCGGGATTCAGAGCGTCCTGAGCACCCCGGCTGAGGACAGGGGACGCATCGTACGGGGTGCCTGAGCCACGCCACGCGACAGGCGGCGGAGGGCGTGTGGGCATGCCTGGGGCCTCCCCCCATGTAACACCATCAGAGGCCCAGGAAACGGGCTCAGCTCCCGCAGCCCCACCCGAGGCGCAGGCGCCGACCCTCCTCCTCCCCTCCTCGGGAACCTGACGTACTTGTCTTTGCTGGAATCATCAATGCCCTAGAGAAAGCGACGGGAGAGGATGAGTGAGGTGCAGGTCCCAGCCACCTTCACCTCTCAAGTCCCACTCCCCCTCCCGGACACCCTCCTGCGGGTGTCCCCACGCCGCACCCGCCTGGGGGGACCCGGGACCCCGGGGTGAAATCCCCTCCTGACCCTGACACTAGAAAGCATACGTGGGGGTGGAAGCTGCAGGAAGGACACGGAGTGGAGCAGAGAGGGACAAGAAAGTGCGGCCCCCGCCCTGGCCGAGCCCCTCACCATCTGGCGGAAAGCCTTGGAGTCCTTGGTCCGGGAGAAGGCGCGGTCGGGCACCCAGCGTGGCATCAGCCCTTCGATGGAGTTGGCCCGTGTCCGCTGCAGCCTGGCCAGCATGGCCTTCTCCTCTTTCTGCGTGGGCCACGAGGGTGCAGGCTCAGAGGAGGGGCCTTGAGAAGGCCTCTGAGGGCCCCGGCGGTCCCTCTCCGGGCCCCCCCGCCCCCCGTGGGCCCGGCCCTGACCCGCTTCTGGCTGGCTCCCAGGATGAGGAAGGTCTCGATGCGCTGCTCCTTGAGGTACGCGTTGCGCTCCCCGCCGCGGCCGGGCTCCACCTCGTAGTCCCCGTTCAGGTACTGCAGCGTGGCCCGCGTGATATGGATGCGGCTGTGCAGGGCGCAGGACGTGAGGCCCTGCTCTCTCCCCGCCCCGAGCCCCACCACCTGGACCCCTCCACTCACCCGGCCCGGCCCCCCGCCTCCATGTGGTTGGCCAGGGTGACATCGTTGGACCACACGTCGAACTGCCACTTCCGCAGGCCGAGGACGCCACAGTGCACGCGCCCGCTGTGGATGCCCACACGCATGTTCACGTTCACACCCGTCACTTCACGTACCAGCCTGGAAAAGGTCGGTCTGGGTCAGTCCTGGCACGGCCTCGCCCGCCCCCAGCCCGGAACACAGGCGGTGCAGTAGGCACGGACAGACCCGGATGCGGGAGACAGGAGCACAGTGCGAGCTGGGCAGGGTAAGAGGCCGCCGACGCTCGGCACACAGGCTTGAGAACTGTGCTCACAGGGCTGCGGCATCTTGTGGGACTCAGCCGGGAGAGGCGGAGCCACTGTTCTCGCCTCTGGCCGGCCGGCGTCCCTGCAGCCCCAGGCCCCCGCGGCCCTAGCTCCCCACCCCTCCCAGCTGGCTCAAATCCAAGGGTGAACGCGGGTCTTCGCAGAGGCTGGAGAAAGAGCCGCTCCCCTCCCCAGCGACAGGTCTCAAAGACAGGGCGAGAGCCAAGGCAGGAAGACCCCTGAGCAGGTGTCGGAGCAGGAGCAGTCTGGGGCCCCCGCGAGTCCAGGACGCCTGGGGACGGGGCGCTGCTTACGAGATGGCCTCGATCATATCCACCCCCATCTCCACACAGCAGTGGGCATGGTCTGCCCGGGCCTCCGGCAGCCCTGACACACAGTAGTAACAGTCCCCTAAGATCTTGATCCTCAGGCAATGATTTTCCTGAAGGGGAAGAGGTGGAGGGAAGGGTCACCTTTACTCTCCTACCCCCGCCTCACTGCAGACGCCATCTGCCCCGCACCCCTGGCTGCCCACAGCAAGGCTGTGCTCTCACCACACTCGGCACACCGTCCCCAAGCCCCAGCACCCTCACCGCGGCCAGCTTGTCAAACCGGGCAAAGAGTTCATTCAGGGTCATGACCAGCTCCTGCGCGGTACACTGCGAGGCCAGGCTGGTGAAGCCCTCGATGTCCGCAAACAGGATGCTGCGGACGACAGCGGAGGACGGATGGGCCATGCGGCCCGACTCCCAAGCCCTCCCAACCTTCTCCGCGTCCCCCCATCCCCACGCTACCTGACGTTATCATGCTTCTGGATGTAGATCTTGTGGAACATCATGTCTTCCTTTTTTGTGTTAATGTCTTCTTTCATCTCCATGGCAACGTGCTGGGGCAAAACTGACAGCAGCAGCCGTTCCTGGACCAGTGGTTCCAACAGGACACTGCTATCATCTCTGCCTCCCATTTTGATCCTGACTCTTCCCCTCCCAGAGCCCCCCCATACCTCTCTGCTGACCCGAGCTCCTCCTGGACTGCAGGCAGACCCACCCCACCACAGCCCACCGCAGACACCCGCCCTTGCCCTCTCGTCAGCCCGCCCTGAATTCTCCAGATGTCCTCCTGTCTACGCCCTCACACACTCGGGCAGGACAAGCCCTAGGGCCGCAGGGGGTGTCTACACAGTCCAGGGGGATCACTCACACAGGATCCCACCGACTTGGATAGAACAGGAGATCCAATCTGCAAGGTGGCAGGGGATAAGAAAGGGAACGTCCCGGTCGGGAAGCAGCCCCACCTGCTGCCGATTCTCATGCTGCAGGTGCAGCCGAGCCTGGATATAACCGCGCGTCTCTTGAAAGGCTTGGCGCTGAGACACTTCCGCCGGGTAATGTGTGCAGATGCCAATGACATTGGTGCAAAGGAACAGTACCACGTTAGCACCGAGCTGCAAGAGGGAGGCGGAGGCAGATGGGAGACCACGTCCCAACACACACGTGCATGCAACTTGCAAGCTCTCTCCAGACACACTCCTCGGCAAGGAAGGCCAGGGTCTGCACCCTGCTTGTCCCCAACGCTCCCGTCTTTCCTTCCCCACAGGAATCCAGATCCCAGCCCTCTGCCCGGGGTCACTACAAGACTAGAAAGGTGATCATTTCCCAGCCTCAGCAAGCAGGAGTGCCAACCAGGGCAGGTATACTCAGGCCCAGCGCACTGTGGTTTCCTGCCTCACAAACACGTCACCCAAGAACCACCCTCTCCGTGTGGTTCTCCTTGCAGGCAGCACCCAGGAGACCTGAGCGCTCTGTCCTCCTGTGAGTGACCCAGGGCAAGTCACCTTATCTCTCTGGGCCTCCGTTTGCTCATCTGTAACTCAGACAGGAAATAAAATCTCCCGCCCTGCAGACTGAGTAACAATAACCATTATTATTATTACCAGCATAGCTACTTTGTTGGCTCCCTGCAACATACCAGGATTCTATGGACACTTTCTATACATTAACCCACGTAGTGCTTAAAACTCTATGAACTAGAAGACAGCATCTTGTTCTTAAAGGGAGGGGTGCACGCCTATAATCCCAGCACTCAGGAGAGTTAGGCAAGAGGTGTCCCAGGTCGGCCTGGGCTACGCAGTGAGTTCAAGGCCAGCCTGAATTACACAGTGAGACCCTGTCCCCCGCAAAAAAAAAGCAGCTCAGTAAATGGCCTAAGATTGCACAATTGGGGTGGCTGGCGTAAGACTTGACTCCAGGATCATCAGACTCCACAGCCTGTGTCCTAATCCCAATTTCTAACGCAGTCCAGGTTTCTAAGAGTCCTCTTCATGCCCCTGAACCTAGCACTTGAGGTTCGGCCTCACAGCTGAGGCTTGGGGATCATCAGCTCTATGACGGAAAACCCTCCCTGATGGGACGAGGTGCCACCCCTGGCCTGGCCAACGCGAGGAATAAACCCCCCCCACTTGGCTCTTCGGCCACCCTCAGCAGCACCAGCTGGAGAGCACATCCCAGGGAAGCTGGCCTCAGTGGTTCTGGAAACGCAGGGGTTAACCTGGCCCTACCCCAAAGCTGGATGGGGCAGGGCTCTGGCCCGGAGGAGGGACAGAACCAGAACTAGCCCTGCAGACTTGACAAGTCCTTCACCTCCGGGACCTCAGTTTCCTCTGTGTAAACGTGAGGGGTTGGCGTGGCTAAGCCCTGGCCACTTCCCGCTCCGCTCCTCCAGGACGGCCTCCCAGCCTCTCTCCCAGACCAATGCACAAGGCCCCAAACCAACCAAGCGCGCTCCCTCCCCGCGGCAGGGGTGAAGAGGGGGCACACTCGCTCCCTCTGGGGCTTCTAAGAATAGTCCCCAGTGGGGTAGAAGGGAAGGGGGGAGCAAATCAGGCAACTTCCCTTCCTGGCCCCAGGAGCCCAAGGGGAAAATGTGAGTCACTGCGGAGGGAAGGGGCAGGGGTGAGACTGAAATAACTGCACACACGACCCGGCGGCCATGGGGAAGGGGGCGACAGGCCCCTGCAGGTGACTCTAGCTTGCCTCGGGTCGCTGGGTGAAACTGCTTGGTGTGTCCCAAGGGTTCCTCCAAGCACGAGCAGGGGTGGACCTGAGAAAGGACAGGCCTCACGGAAGGACAGGCCTCCAGAAGCTCCTGAGCCCGGTGGACAGGGAACTGTTCCCAGCTGAGAGGAGGCTGTGCGGGCAGCCTTGACCCGCAGATGGGCACAGGGCAGCACGGTTTTCTACACCACCCCAAGAACGGGTCGGCCTAGACCCTCAGGGGTGAGGCTATCGCCTGCAAGCCCAGCAGGCGGCAGGCTACCAGCCCCGGCCCCGCTGAGGGTGAGCCTCCCCACTCAGGGGCCAAGCCCTGGCTCTGGGAGCCCTCAGCTGGAGCAGGGGAGAAGCCCACCAGCGGCGGCAGCCAGAGGGGAAGGGGGAAGGAAGGCAACGTCTCCCAGCGCCTCGTCCCCGGAGGGCCGTGCACCTCGCAGGCAGCGTGACCTGGGAGAGAAGCTGGGGGACTAGCAGGGGTGGAGGGACCTGGCCCTTTAAGAGGTCCGAGAGTGCCCTTGGGGCACGTGCTCCACAAACAAATGGGCTATAAAGTTACTTTTTAAAAGGTACGTTCTGTTCTGGAGCACAGGCTGGGCGGGAAAGGGCGCCGTGCCAGGGCGCCCAGCTTCTCACCCCGCAGCGACAGGCAACTTCCTCCCCACAGGGGAGCCCAGGGTGGGCTACGGGACACAAGCGCTTGGCAAGGCGGAGGCCGGCCCTGCATGGGGACAAGGCGGGGCGCACTGGCACTGACTAGCAGTCTCACCTGTGTGCCCCAGGCAGGGCTGACGGGGACAGCAGGTGGTCTCTGAGAGCCCTTGCGGCATTCCCACAGCTCACCATCCCCAAGCAACCGCCCGCCCTGCCCAGTGGGCCCTACTGCACTCTGGGAAGGAGGCTGCCAACGCCGCCAACGGCAACCCTCAGAAGGAGGCAGTATTCTTACCCGGCTTACAGACCGGGGAGGGGTAAGGTCAGCTGTCAGATCCCACAGAGCAGCCAGGCAGCAGAGCCCCCCTTCTCTCTGCAGGGTACGCCCAAGCCCCACCTCGCCCACACTCCTCCCCAAGGGGCAGCCAGCGCCAGCACCAGCAGAGAGCTCAAGGCAGGGCTGCCAGGCCGCTGGCACCAGTGTGCAAGGATGGGATGACATCAGCTTCCAGCACGCCTCTCCTCTGGAGCCCAGCCACATCCACGCCACCCCAAGCCCGAGAACTGACCCCAGCACTCCGCCCTCCCTGTCTCCTCAGAAAGGGCCCTGCTCCGAGCGGTAACTCTGTCCACAACCTGCTCACCCCTTCAGATCACCGTCTAGAGCTGCCCCTCAGGGAAGGCACCACAGCCTTAGTGTCAGGGGTCAACCTGGGGATAGGGCTGCGAGCCCCGGATAAGCCAGCCTTCTCAGCACCGCCCCCGCGGCCCACCCCCTTCCCACCCCCACAGTGTCTCTACAGGCTGCGGGCCTCATCTCAGCGGTCTCGGGCCAAAGAGCTGCAGACCAGCTTATGGGCGGAGCACGGGACCGCGTCCCGGGGTCTTCCTTCGCTCAGCAGCGTCCTGTGCCCAGATGCAAAGTGGAGGCGCACCTCGGAAACCTGACCGTCCAGGCGCAGGCAAAGACCCTCGCACCCAGGACCCACCCACGACTCCCCAGCCCGTCACACCAAGCCCGTTCCCCTTCCTGTGCGGACGCCCTCCACACCCACCTGCTTCCAGAGGAAGGCATCGCCTTGGTTGAGGTGCCAGGCCAGGATCAAATGCAGGGCGGAGAGGCCCAGGCCACTGAGCACGGCGGCCCGCATGCGGATGGGCAGGAGCGTGTAGGTGATGTAGACGAAGAACACGGGGCACCAGAGGCCTGCTGAGGGGCTGTGTGGGTTGGCTGCCAGGGCACCCCCCACCTGCACAGCTGCCAGGATGCCCAGCACCACATAGCTCACCACCCACATGGAGTCCTGGCGGAAGCTATGTCGGTTACACACCACCATGAGTGCCACAAAAAGGGTGGCGGCACAGGCCAGCAGGGCCACGTAGGCGGGCTGAGGCCTGGCGGGTGCGGCGTGGAAGGCCAGCAGCACAACCGTGAGCAGCAGGAGCACCGCCATGAGCAGCGTCAGGCTGCTCTGGTTCATCTGGAAGAAGTACCGCTGGTACAGGCGCTCCAGCTTGGCCGAGCGGAACTGCTTCGACTGGAAAACCCGCACCAGCCGGTGCCAGCAGGACCGTCCACTCCTGAGTGCCACGTCGGGTGCCACCTCAGTCGTCCCCGCTGCCGCCGTGGGCACCTCAGTGTCCTCAAAGCCCAGGGCCACTGCCCGCAGCCCCAGCTCCCTGCCCTTGCCTGGCCCAGCCCTCCGGAGGAAGGCTTCGTCCTGCCAGGGGCACCGAGCGGGAGCTGCAGGGGTGGGGCTGGGTGGCTCTGCATCCCGGAGGCAGCTCATATAGCGCGGCGTGCAGAAGCCACTGGCCCGAGTCCCGCGGCGCAGGCGCTTCTGCCCATGGCGTTCACCCCAGGCTGTCTTCCGCTCATCCACTTTGGGGACCAGGAGGCCACTAAACCATGACATGCTGCTGGGAGAAAAGGTAAGAGATGGCACCGATGGCGCCCAAGGACTACGGCCACCACCAGTAACTCCGCACCCGAGCACTCCCCACAGCCGAGCTAAGTGCCTTGTACTCGCCACCCTCATAAAAGCCACTCCCAAGTACACAGTGGCCTCCCCACTCCCAGGTGAAGAACCAGAACAGAGATGGAGAAACCTGCTCAAGATCCAGCAGCCGCGTAAGTGGGAGCACCAAGATCCTAGGCCAGATTCACCTGGGGCCAGAGCCAGCACACGAGCAATCCCCTCTTCCCTAACGGCACTGGTTCCTTGGTAGTGACAAACTTAAGCGTCCATGTCAAGAAATGAAGCAGCCGGGGCTCGGGGGAGCTGGGAGCAAGAGCCCACACTGTGGAGGCGAGCACCCCAGAACCGGCACGGTCACCACTGCCGCCCAGCAGGGCTTGAGCTTCTGAGCTTCCAACAGAAGCCACAGAAAAAGAGAGAAACCTCTAGATTTCAATGCAGTATCTCCTGATTTTTAGATGTTGGCAACTAATTCACATTTATCAACACTGCAAGCCAAATAAACCTCATCTGTGGAATAAGTTCAGCCTATGAGCTGTCAATCAGTGACCTCTGCACAAAAGGGACTGTCTTTCCACATCCTTCCTCATCTCTCTCGCTCACACACACACACACACACACACACACACTCCATCGAGCTAAATTCAGCTTCTCACTCAGGTCACAGCTGAAGTGTAACTTCCTCTGGGATGACTTCCTAGCTCTGGCCCTGACTCAGTTTGGTGCCATTTACCTCTGCACATTTCTTTCACAGGAGTGACTGTAATTCAAATTAAACTGCTCCTTGTTTAATGTGTACCTCTGTCCCTCTTATTCTAAGCTTTGTGAAGGTGGGGTTTTTTCTGTTTTGTCCAGCACCTCAACTCTGGAGCCACACACTGGGCCCGGCTTACAGGAGGAACTTGACAAATGCAAGCTGAACCCACGGGAAGCCGGCCAGCCTCGGGGCAGGGGTGTGGAGCAGTTGGAGTCAAACAGTAACCAGTAAGGGTAATCCCGACTCTTGATCTTCCTCGCTGTCCCCAGTCTACCAGCTCAGGCCAAGCTGAGGCCCTGGAGCTTGCCATTCTAAGGTCCAGAGTCACAGCTCCTCCAGGTCACGGGCCAAATGTCTCCTTATCAGTGAGGCTTTCTCTGACCGCTGGTTAAAATAGCAACTCTCCTTCCTGCAGCTCCCTATCTCTCTTAACAGCTTTATACTTTCTCTTTTTCCACAGCCCTTACCAGCAACTGCCTTTCTATACATCTGTCTTACTTGTTCACTGTCTCTCCTGATCAGAATGTCAACTTCACGAAAGCAGGAGTTTGGGCCTATTTTACTCCCTGTAGTACCTACAACACCTTATAAGATGAAAAAATTTGCTGAGTACACGGATGGCTGCTGAATGGATACTCCTATGCACTTTATCTGTTTTTTTTAAACTTTTCAAGGTTTTTTTTTTTTTTTTGAGGGGGTTGTGTTTTGTTTTTTGAGATAGGGGCTCACTATGTAGTTGAGGCTGACCTGAACTCACTATGTAGCCCACGTGATCCTCCTGCCTCAGCCTCCCAAGTGCCCAAATTACAGGCATGTGCCACCATGCCTGGCTTCAAGATCTTTTTACATGCCTAAATCCATCTAGATTGTCATCAAAATCCTGTGAAGCTACCCCTGTGTCCACCTACTATATGGGAGAGATTTGACAGGAAAAAAAACAAAACAAAACCCACGGCCCATGTCAGTTTTATATGGCTGACCCAAGTCACAGAGGTCCTGGGTAACCCATCATTCTCAGATCTCAGGTTTCCTGGAGGGACAGGCCAAGAACTGTGGGGTGAGGACCCACAGCAACAGCCTTGACGTGTATTAGACAAGCACAAACGCAGCTGTCCACGGATGGCCGTTCCGCACTCAGGGACACTCCTCCCCACCCACAGGGCACCCTGAGGGGCCCTGGCATCTACACCTGCTGAGCTAGCAGCACCGACATGTGTACTTACTAGGGTACGAGAGGGAAGTGTACCCAGAGCCTGCCCCAGGTGGCCACAGCACCAGATGCCAAGACAGACAAGCAGTGCTCCAAGCAGACGCCCAGGGACCCGCAAAGCAGAAGGCAGCTGGGGACTTCTCCACACACCCCAGTGCCCGCACCCCAGCTAGGCCTCGGTCAGGTTCCCTCAGCCCCCTGCTGTATCCCAGAGCTGCACACCCTGCAACCTCTCAATCACTAACGGCTCCATCTGGAAAGACAGATCAGGAGGACAAGACTTGGTCAAGCTGGCACTTGGAAAAGGTCACCAAAGAAAGCCTGGCTCTTCAAAACACTTCATTAGGAACATGATCTCTGGCATGAGACCAGGTCTCAAACCTGAGCATGATCATTGCCTAGGCGCACTGCCCTGCTCAAATTATTGGACCTTCCTGCATCACTTTCTTCATCTTTAAAATGGGAAAGAAATCTAGTAACACCTGTCAGGTAGCACACAGTAAATACTACTTCCTTTCCGCATTACTCTGAGCCCAAACCTCTACCACTACCAAGAGATGGGGACACAGGAATCATAAGCAAGAACACGCATCCCTCCAGCCAGTCAGACGCCTGCTTCCCTCAGTCCCTGTGTCCTTAGCTGTCACTCTCCAGAGCTGCTGGGGACAGAAAGCAGGGTGGGCAGGCTTTGCACCACTCCTCCCTAGCATTCTGCCTCAGTCACCTCCCACGTGTCGTCCCCTGCCCGGTTCCTACCTCGCACCACCCTAACCCAGACCACTGCTCCCAAAGGACCTGTTCTGGCCGCATTCCCAGCCCCCCCCCCCCGGAAGTACATCCTGGCATCCGGCTCACAGCCCCAGGGAAGGGGCAGACCTTGTCCAGGGAACAGAGGACCCTTCCAAGAACACTCGGCATCCCCAGGGGGGTAGCTCCAGGGCCCTGTAACTGTCCAGCCAAATGCAGCCGGCCCACGCTGGCCCTCACGCCAGGACCCAGCACTCCTGTCCAGAAACCCTCACTCTGAGCCCCAGGGGCACGGCTCGCTCTGCTCTTCCAGCCAGGCTCCTGGGCCTCGGGCCTCCTCATGGACCCGTGGCTCCAGGCACCACCGGGCACAGCTCCACGTCCCACTCAGTCCCAGACCTCAAGTCCCTCCCAAACCCTGATCCCTGGCCTGCGAGCAGGGTGGAGGAGGCCGCGGCGCAGCCCGGAGGATGGCTCTGCCCACCGCTCTGCCAATGCTCTTCGAGGCCGCTTCTCGGCGCTGTCCCCAGGGGCTATGTGCCCTGCCTTCACTGGCAAGAGGAGGCTCCGGGGATTTTAAAGCCATTTCAGAAAGTTCACGGCAGAACGCGCTGCCCAGGCGCGGCCCACCGTGCGGGGACGCGGGCCTCCATTCCAGGCCCTCCCCGAGGCCGCGGGGCCTCCGCAGGGCCTGCGGCCGA